TACACGTATAGCTCAACTTCGTTAAGCTTTGTAAATTCTAGACCTATTCATAATTCTAGTAATTAAATCGTCAAACGAAGATTGTGATTAATTTACAGTGTTACTGATTAGACAAGGTAATGACGATGACAACGAAGTATTTAGCCCAATCCGGAGTAGTACAAGCTCAACCCCAGCTCAACCCCGGATAATTCATACTTATCTTCGAAGCGATATCGTAAAGCCGCATGACGCTAATGGAAAATTGAAAAATTTTAAACGCATCAATTCTTGGTCCTCGAGGCTGCTGATCGTGTCTTATTCCTGCAGCATTTTCAAAATCTTACTTAAACCACCAAAAGGTATCAATAACATCAAGTCTGACCGAAGTATCTAAAAAATCAGCGTAAAATAAACATTCTAACTAAAAACTCAATTTTCCGATTATTTGGCATTGATAAAAAACAAATAGGAAGAATCTATAGGAAAGAAGGTAATAGAGAAATGATCCTGTAATGCTACGGTCCTATAGGAAGAGTTTGTTGAGTTAACCACAAACCTGTTAAGCTCTTAAGCGCACCACGATGGACGATGTAACTCCGCTATCTAATAAACATGTTAAGGCAGAGGCCAAGCACCGTTTAAGTAGTCCTTTTCCTGACATTAAGTCAGTATTACATCACATAACTAACGTTTGCAGCTATATCTGGAGTGGAAAATTCCTGTTGTGCTCAGTAACATGCCTGACATCGCCAATTATACTATTTAACTTTTCTCATCGTGCGTATGGCTTCTGATATTGGCACTGTCAGAAAAGAAGTCCGGGCAGCTGCAACATTCCTATGGAGCATAAGTAAAGGTGTGTATTCTGTAAACCTCAATCTTAGATGTGTAAGACAGCTATCGGTTCTTATGGCTCGCTAACAGAGTTCTATACAATTCTGGTGTGCATAATGACGAACTTCTGAGATATATGGGTGAATAACCGGAGAGTTGCAGAAACAAAGAATTTTACGAAATCGATACTGTTGACGAAAGGATATCAAATGAAGAGAATTTTAGAGAGATGGCGACAGAAAAATTGAAAGCGATTGGTTTTATTTTGATACAGATTTAAAGTGCAATGTAGAACTTGTCTGACTAGGGTCTAGATACCACAGCAGAAACACCAGCTTTGTCTTGCGCAAAATTGTATTCAAACCGTAAATTTGCGAGACGGCAAGCATTTTGATAATTTTGGTACTAACGCAATGAAGGCTGAGAAAAACACTTTCTTCCTTAACTCTTGACATTCTAAAGACTTTCAAATTACCAAAGTCCTTATAGGCAAATAACTAAAAGTCGGCAAATATTTTATGAGCAGCTGGGACGGCTGCGAAAGTTCGAATCGATGCATTTAATTGATCGAATAAAACGAGCAAAGCATAAAGAAGCGAATAACACCTCTATCATCATCACCGGTCGGTTTTATAGGCTACAGCTACTACGCTATTTAGTGCCAATAAATAGTGTAAGTTGGCGCAAGTACCAGGCACGCGTGTCGCAAATCGCCGACTGCTTTCGTGTCTCGTCAGTTCGATCAGGTGCTTTCAGTGCAACAAGGTCTAGTTAATTCTATAATTTTCATACCAGATGCATGCTGGGAACTAGTTGTGGGCTGTGATTCGCATGCTGAGATTGTATTCGCGTTCATTTTTGCCACCTTTATCGCTCATCTGCAAGAAGTGCTATCAAAAGGTGCTTCAAACGGGACTCAAATTGGTTGAGTGTCATAGCGAGAAACAAAATTCACGAAAGACCTCAGCCCATAGATAGCGATGAAGTTGTGTCACTATCATGCTCAAGTGGCAATATTTCTTCATGGAGAAGTAGACAAACCAGTACCCAAATTGTCAAGGCTATGTGAAGGAGGTGGGACCTTAGGGTCTCAAAGTGAGACATTTTTGATTTTGAAGAAACTTTCGTGCACAATGAAAGCGTTGACGGCAGTCGATACATACTGTGGAATAAGGTTGACTGTGTCACTGGCATCTGATTAACAACTATCTCGATCTCATAAAGCAGATCCTTACAGACTGCATCAAATGAGGATTCCAGATAGAAGTTGGAGGTACAGCTCCGCGTGAAAAGGTAAAAAAAATCAATGAACATGCTCACTCCGCCACCATCGACAAAAACGGGAAATTATCGCCGCAAGTACATGAGCCTTTAAATTAGCTTCCGTTGGTAGAAATTGGTACCAATGCCTCAGCAATCAGGATCCAGCTGCCTTAAATTATCGCTCGAAAATTGAGTAGTCTACCGGCAGACTGCTATAGCAGAAGCATGAATAAAATGAGGGGTAGTTACGCCAAGAGTGAAGGCTCAGACGAAGCCTTGATCGTTATGGACTTCAAGATTAAGCTTAAAATCTTTATACTATCGTAAAAGACGATACCAAGAGAGAAATTAGTCGGCAGTGAGTGATGATTTTTACTTCACCTTCATAAAATGAATTGAAGGAAACAATGGAACCGGCGATATCAAAAATTATAGTGATACTGATGAGACTGAGAAGGAGCTTTCACAGACTAGAAAAATTAGCACTTTGATTCACTGACACAAACTTCTAACAGATCAGTTCAATGATTTCTATTAGAGCTCAACAAATATCTCTAAAGACAATTTTTTTGGATTTTTGAAACAGGTCAAAGCAATGGACAAGCAGCTTGAGTAAATAGTAAAGGAGGCCAATGACATCATTTGACTTAACCAGAAATCTGAAAGAAAATAAAGTTAAATTCGTTGCGCACCAGCATTTTCCCAGACCTCGCTCTTACGGCTAAACTTTGAGTTATAGTAATGAGCCACCCTTGCTACGGTACGAACGGCATCTTTGGCTCATCACTACTGTGTGACAGGCCGACCAAGCGGAGCAGTGAAACTTCACAACTGAGCTGCAGGGCTGTCGGATGGCTACGATGACACAGTGATGTGAATAAATAGATTACATCTTGAGCTAAACTGACGTATTCGGAACCAGTGAGCGATATATTTTCACAGCGCAATCCCAATTGTCGGATACAGAGACGGTGGCGTCACACACCGCTTTCCCTTCAGATAGGCGTCGTCGAGATACCAGACATGAAACTCAATGATCTTATCCATGCCACCGAAGAGTGAATATACGACGAAGAAAAGACATTTAACTTTATCAACTAGCGCTTTTGGAGATTGGCCAAGTTCATACGGTTTTTTTTTCGAATAGGGTCATGGCATCCAAAGAGTCAAATTGTAAGGGCGTGGCCATCTTAAGTAATAAATTATATTTCAGGGTGACAAGATTCAAAATACCCTTCCCAATTGTTTCGAATTCTTATCTAAACGCTGATGAAGTACAACACAGTAAATCAATATCGTGTAGCGTCTTAATAACAGCAATGAGATTGTCAGCCTTCTATTTCGACGATCGATGAGTGCTCCATCCGCTGTAATATCAACCATCTCCAGAGTTGCAGCAGAATCTAGCTGGGACGGCGAGCAATGGCCAGCTGATAGCCTAACTCTAGCAAGAGGCCGAGGGCAAAAAGGCATTAGACTTAGAAGAGTCAGGACCAGAATGTTAAGCCACATACAGCACTGAAAGCCTTCAAGTCTTTGTTTGTTTTCATGGATGTGTATCGACAAACAAGGTTGATGCATGGATAGCCACGTTGAAAAAGAACACGATTCCAGTCATAACACGTGTAACATGAAGGTCAAAATATTTTCTTTCTTCGCCATTCAACCGTATCCACTAGTCATCGACACCCTGTGACTGCTGCCTGACAAGAATATGTGTGTTACTTCTTTTAACCAGCCGCTGTTGGTCATCTAGATGAATACCCGGTTCTTAGAGCTGTTGCAGTAATCATCTCTGGTGGTACTGATACTAGCGGTGTTTTAAGTGTCAACATAGTCCGGATTCGACTAGAACGTCAATCAATGGATGTATACGAAAACGATAATGAGGAGAAGGCGAGTAGTGATTTTTTCTCAATGCTGGAAGATTTAGAAGAGAAATGTTTTTTCAAGTAATTTGATAACCATAGATTTCATTTTTACTGGATTTCACATACTAAAGGCACGCAATCAAAATCTAGTTTACAAAGAGATATTCAGGTAGAAACTTGCTTTATAACTCCTCATCAATTCCTTAGTCGATGAATTTAAAGAGAATCATACTCGAAGATGCTGACAGCCACACATTATAGCCACCGCATCTACGAAATTTCTAATCAAACTTGTCAAAGCTTGTCTACTTTTTGTCTAGCTTATCAAAATATCACAAGAAATCAGCCTCCTTTTTGCGCTTATTGTGTTTCATTTATGCTGAAAATTTCAGTTTGTACATATCGTGATTCTAGACATACTAGCAATACGGACTTCTGCGGAATCAGTCAAGCTAAAAACTATTGCTGTTGGTCTATCGCTTTTAGTGACAAAGTGTTGCGTCTGAAAGTGGACCCAGGTATCGTGAGCTCTCTTGTGGGTTTCTCCAACTGTCCGTCAGTCAAGTCAGATTGCCGTATAACGCTTTGTAGATTTCAATATTATTTTCATGTAGGTGAGTTTTCATGTGTAACGAAAAATAAAAAACAGTCCCACTCGACTTCCGTCGAAGTAAAGGAACGCATAAAATCCCGACGAGCGCTCGACAACGAAACTTGATTAATTCGTCCGATCAGTAGCCTGAAATTGGTTCACGACCTTGGTTGTTTTAGCATCCCTTTCCAAGTCTACAGTCAGCTACGACTAAACCCCTTTGTCTTTAAACAAAGGTGGAAGATAACTGCAGGCGCAGCAAAGACTGCTGTGATAAGCAGGAATGTGAAGCCGCTGGAACGCAGCATAACACGTTTACAACGACGGTAGTACGCGTTCGACATGGTTCCGCCATACCAAAAATTCGGAGGTGCAAGTCAGCAGTAAAATATCGATCACTTGGCTAGTTAGACGCGAGCAGCTCAACTGGTGCCGATAGACTCAGTGATGACACGAGCCAAAAATCCACTACATCAGAAGAAAACGATAAAATTTGTCTTTTGATGATAAGCTAGATTAGAAGCTATTAATATTGAATACGTGCGTCGTACGACTTAATATGAAGCTAAAAACCGATTATGAACCTGCAGATTGGTCGGGTGAATCCTTCGAATAATTGTATAATGAGTACCAGCCTACTCCATCACCCCCTCCTTTGACAGCTTCCACGAGTAAAAAGGCATATACGCAAGCTCCAAACTTTAGATAGACGTGAACCGCTTTTCAAATCCGGTTTACCGTGGAATATAATCGAAATGCAGCATGAGCATCGAACAGTTGCTGCATCCTCTAACGTTCTTTATCCTTGTATCAGCCACAAGCAACGGATTCATCATTTCAAGCTTCAGCAAAACAACTGCCATCACAACACCATCACCCATGGCGACTAGCGCTAATCCGCTATGCCGTGAGCCAGGTCTTTACATTGGACATCATTGACGCGAATTGTGTCAGATCACATATTGCGATATATCATTACTTAGCTATTCAATTCGATCTGCACCAGAAGCGATATATACTTTGCCTATTCGTATAGAGTTGAGATGAACAAGTAATGAATAGAATCGACTACGCGAGCTCAGTCGAGGTTTTTGAGAGCAAAACGAGACTTGCTGATGAGGGGACTCAGCGTCATGCTGAGACCAATAAATAATACCTGAAGCGTCAACCCCGGATGAAGTTTAATATACAAATTCTCCGAAGACAAGTATGGCTTTAAGCGTCCAACGCAACATGCGGAATCAAATGTAGCTTTGTAGATTATAAGATGATGCCATCATTAAATGATACATAGCAATACTCAATAACTTCCGATAAAAGTTTATTTGGGACGGCCCCGATAGTTCATACGTCGCATCGAGCATCTTTTGTGCAAGAGATCTGTAATATTATGGTTGATATCATACAAGCCGGCTAGCTTTTCATGGCAATCTTAATAATCAAAGGATATAGCTACCTATCCCTTCTACTTAAACTTAAATTCGGCATCCATGATATTGCCGTTGCCATGTGCTTTCAAGCGCTTGACTCCGATGATAAGGCAGACGTTTACTGGCATGAGAAAAATGCCACACAAGAACAGCATCAGTGCGATCATGGTAATCGACGGCATGAGATCGCCACAAAGTGCGTCGTAAATGGTCCAAAAGCCATCCGCAATAAATGTGCAATACATGGCTTCCTCAAAGTCGCCAACATATCCAATAAGACTGCTGTCGAGCTGAGCTTTGATGCCTTCAATGTCTGAATTTAATTTCTTCGTTTTAGTTTCGAAAGTGTCCGAAGTTGATGTGATACCGTTTACGTCGCTGCTTAATTCAGCTTTAAAAGACTCCATACTCGCCTTTAACGTGGCAAGAGGGAGGATGACGGTATATTTTTCCCTCATGAATACAGAGAAAGCGCATTGAGGTGTAGTCGCGCAGGCATACGCTTTTCCGAAATTTGGAGTATTACTGTTCGGATTATTGTTCGTACACGAGCTGTCGTAACTTTTGTAGTAATTCTCAATGTAATCGGCTTCCGTACCAGAGCCTGGCTGTGGCTGATTATTCGCTAGCCACGGTTTGCGAAGATGCTCAGTTGTCTGATACCCATTACCAGCTGGGTTACACAATGGGGAAGTCTGTACAGCGTAACTATTAAAAGTCGTCACCAAGGAGCTGTACGCGGCTTTGTCAAAACCGAATGAACCTTCATCAATATCATTGGTGCTGGTTTCAAGGGCGTCCAAATCCGAAAAATCAAACATCGCAGAGACGTCAAGTTTTGGAAATTCTATTCCACCGCGAGCAAAACTAAGCTTGTCCGATAGATTAAACACATCGATCAGAGATTGATTTTGAAAGCACGCATCCACAGCTTTGGCAGAATCACCCAGTGGCACTGTCCAGTTGGAGGAAAAGATTGCTGTGACTTCACATGCATCACCTAATACGACACCGATCGCTAGGACAACAGCACTGATGATAAATACAAGAATGAGAGCGAAAAATCCAAAGAAGTAAGCGATGTGCATTATATTGGCAAGAAGTTTCAAGGGTGTGAGACCAAAAAGTATTCCAATAAAACCAACGACAATGACGACAAGAGCCAAAGCAAATAATGCCATGATTGCATAACCAAGTTGATCTCGATAGCCTTGAAATTGAGAATCGTAACCATCCACATCCGCTTGCGTATTATCAACTGTTGTAATCAATGTGTTAGCCATACTCACTTGAGCGTCCACTGCACTTTGAACACTGCCTGAAATTTCCACTAACTTTGATGTCAATTGTTTCTTAACATTACTCAATTGCTTGATACCTGGCCCTGCATTCTTGTTCACTTGTGTTGCAGCATCTTGTGCTTTTGTTCCGATAGCGGTGCATGCTTTACATTCGTAACAAGGATCACCATCTGCTTCTGCGTTCGTTTTCGAAGGATCAGGTACGCAGTTCGCTGGAAACTTTGGCGCAGTCGAATATTTATCACCAAAGTCTTCAAGCTTTGTAGTGAGGTCCGTCAACCCGGTATCAATAAAATCTGTACCGTCCAGCTTGACCTTAATATCATCTGCAGAGTCGACGACAGTTGCCGCAATTTCAACAAGTGGTGTGCGAATGTTCGCGATCCACTCGCTGCCATTTTCTAATGTACCAGATGTCGCATTGAAAAGGTCATCAACGGCAACAAGCATAGTACCACGATACAGAAAGGCTGCTGCAGACACTACCACAACTCCAATTGCAAAGAGAAGAAAGAAGAGCAAGGGTAAAAACTTTTCCATGCACTTGTATCCCTCTTCACGTGGAAATCGTCCGCCACATCGGTTGCAACAGCAGCGACATATCAAGAAAAAGACCATGGTCAAAAGACTCAAAACACCCAAAACAATGCCTGGAATCACAAAACCAATAACTCCAGTCGCCCACTCTTTGATTTTAGCCGTAGCTGCAGTACTATCCATAGTGCTATCTGGATATGCATACATTTTAGCACGACTCGTATCTCCGTCTACAATTTCAGCCCAATAGCAATTGGGAGCGACTTCACAAAGTCCCTGATTGTAAGCGTTTACTGTCTCATCATCTGTCAAAGACGTGACAGGAAGTCTTTCAGGATCGCCATTGTCGTCTTTGTACGCATTATCAGCATCACAACTGACAAAGCGAATTTTATTTTTTGCCAAATTTTGCTCACACAATGTGATCTTTACGGCAGTAATGAGATCTTGATAAAATTTGTCAGTTCCTCCTCGAAGTTGTTTAATCGCCTTGCGTACCGATGCTCCAACTTGATTGGCCTGTGCCGATGCATCAGCTTCAGTTGAAGTTCCTTCCAGTCGTCGATATCTAACGAGAGCACTGGAAACCAAATGATCTTGCGGTTGGATATATGATTCATTCTTCAAACCACGCAGCTTTGACATATCTGCAAATGACTGCTGTGTAGTCTGTGCTAATGATACAGCACTCGAAGCCAGCAAAGCTAATACTACCAATTGATAAGGCCTCTTCATTATTGCCGTGTGATGATTTCTAATCCTCATCGTCGTCAGGTCTTGATTGTGGTAGACTTCACTTGTTTGAACTACCGAATGCACCAAAGACAAACCGAGAATGAATAGTTGATTGCACCAATTTTATCGGGCAAGACTGCGATGCAACGGAAATGTAAAGTATTTTGAGTTGTAGATAGGCAAAAGTGAGTTAATGGTTTTATTTAGACAACTTGCATGCGATGAAGCGAGCATTATGCACCAAATTGGTCACTGCAGTTGGCCTTCACAGAAAATTATATCGACTTTGATAAACTACTACATGTTTTCCACAAAATTTATCTTGATCGAGCTCCTTAGCCGAAGTAGAAGAAGATGATAAATCATGAATGGGGGCTGTATATCTGTCATGCCGTTGCTCTATGAGTCCAAATTTTATATAATGATCATATTCTTTCACAATAATTTCTTATACTCATTGGGCTGCATGATTATTGTGTGTCTCTTATGACGTTGCACTTTATGAATGATAAGAGAATTACGTCAAGCAATTTTTACCAATGTATAGGGAGGTAGCGCAAACGACAAAAACTGAAAGCGAATTTTACTTACCAAATCTCTAGCCAGCCTTTCTTTCTGCCAATTATTCAATACGCTGGAGAAGAATATTTCACCAGTTAGGACTCTACAACGGATTCATCGCTAGCTGGGGTGAAGTTGATTTAAAAAAGGATGAAAAGGAGATTTTATTTCTGAAGTGTGGAGCTATAGGAATCACGTTTACATCAAAAATGGATGAATCAGGTGCCCAAAATAAGACAATTTAGTTGTCGCTCATTTCGTCCTCGTTGATGCGCACGAATCAAACTTCCTTCACCCTTTGCCCCTATAGATCCAATTTCCTTCACCCTTTATCTATTCGAGGTTAAGTGAAGTGCCACTCAATCGTTGACTTAAAATGAGCTCCGGACTGTCTGCCGACTATAATGCTTAATTTTCTGCTTTGGCACATCAAAACTCATAGAAAGACCGAGTCCACACAACCAAAACATATATTTAAGCAGCGTCAACGGACGAATGTTTAATACAAATTACGATGCAGGCACTGATTGGTACCTAGTCAGCAACCAGTTGCTCGCACGACAATCATAAAATCATAAGCAATATCCTCTGTTGAGCTCCAGGTTTCGAGATCACGTCATCGACGAGTATCAATGAAAAGTTGGCAATTCGGATATGACAATCAGCAGAAATCTTGGCTGATTAACTTTTTTCAGTGAAGCACTTCAAAGATCAAGTTTGTGGTGAGGGATAACAAGAATATTATTGTCTTGAAATTTTTGATGCTCCGAGATTTAGCTGTAACTCTATCGATTTCAAATGAGTAGAAAGATTCTTTTATCTAGAAAATCAAATCTGTGATCAACTTAGCAGGTAAAGACAGTAATCATATTGTCTACATTGATTTCATCTTCACTGCTACTTTTCCATTACAAGGAATATGCCAGCTCAAAAAATATTCAAAAGCCATTGAGAAACTTTTGAGTTCAGCTTTAAAGTGCATTCAATTGCTGCAGCACAGTCTTGAAATCCTCCTCACATGGTTGAAGCTCTTCATATGTGTATGCCTGATCTAACAGTGCCTTTAAATTTTCAATCACAAGCACTAAATTTCGCTTGAATGTAAAGAAAAACAATAATTAGTCATTTCATGAATCCAAATCACCATATTGAGATATTCACCTGAACGGGTTTGAATAAAATTGTCTCCGTCGATGTGTTTCGAAGGTAAAGGTGAATTGCCTGTAGAATCTTTGGTAACTGTTCATTCAGCTGATGCGAGACCCTTGCAAGCACATTATGAACTTCAGTTGGAGCTGTGAACTCAAACTGACGGAAGTCTAGTGCTGCGGCTTTTTGAGCTTGTTGTGCATAAGCAATCTGCTTCATCAGTGCAAGCAGTGGCTGAGCCAATTGCTCCAGGACAAATTCAATAAACCCCGTACAACTTTTCTTTAGCTCCTGCTCCAATTCCTTTTTCACGTCTGCTGTTGTCTCCTGAATTTGTGGAATGCCACGAGTAAAAAGATTCAATATTCCATTTGGACCTGTAAATCGAAATAATGTTGATGCATCTCCTAATAACTCGTTCATAGCATCCGCGCTGCTTGTAAAATCCAGTGTCTTGCTTCTCTGAGCAAATTGAATTTCAAATGGTGTAATTTGTTCGCGTAGTGTAAGTAGATGTTTGACAAGAAAGAGGGAGCCATGAAGACGACCATGTGTTGCTGTAATGTCAGCAGATGCCATTTTCAAAGATGCTGTGCATATTTGAATTGCGTCTTGAGCTAACTCTTCAAAGATTTCCATCTAAGAAAAGTATATAGAGTGTAAATATTAACGCATCAAACTAGGAAGCCAATCTCGTACCTTAACATAACGATATCCTTGAGATAAGCACATTAAAGTGTGCTCAAGTGACGGATACCACGTCGCATATAGTGAAGCACCACTTTCTTCTGCTGCTATCAACTTGGCTGGGTAGTTTAAATGCTCAGGACAAGGTTCAAAACCCTCGATTTCGTCACGAATATACTTTTGCATGCACAAAATAAGACGTTCTTGCGCATCTTGGATCATACGATGCATTACAGGCTCAGCATAACTAACAAGTGCTGCACGTGGAGTAATGGCTGCTTCAATCACTTCACTTCTCAAAACTTGAATCACCTCACATAGCACTTCCAAATCCTTTTGTGCTAGAAGCCGAGGTCGCACAGTATTATACAACACCCCACAAAGTTGAAAAATGAGACGTCTTATATAGTCACAGCACAATTTGTTAGCAGCATGTATCAGGTATAAACACAAAACGAACACACAACCGACTCGAAAGCATTTTCATTGTCTTCTTGATCTTGATCTTCTTCGCCAAGAATCTCACTCAAGCTGGAAATACTGAACAGTTCATCACTCGGATCGCGACCAAATAGCTTTAAAAAAAGTTGATACTCGGCTTCACACACCTTAAGCAATTGAGCGCAAGTCACACGAAGTCCATTCACAATATCAGCCGTTTCACTGACAGTATCTAGCCACGTTCCAAGTACTGGAGACAGTAATTGTACTCGCTGAGTAGCATATGCATCAAGCACGTTTCCAAGCACACGAAGATTCTCAACACTGTTTTGGAGCGGCTGCGATTTCAAGCGCTCGAATTGCTTTGCCACAGCAGCTAGAGCTGGTGCTACAAGCTGAAAATTAACGTAATATGGCGACGTCTCGTCCAATTGACTCACGAGCGAAATCTCCATTCCACTTTGCTGTGACATCAATGCTTCCTTTTGAACAGCTTCAAGCACTGCGTCTCTAGCCGCTTCTAATGCACTCAAAGCATAGTCATTTAATGCTTGGATTCCTCCAGCGGCAAGTGTTTTATAGGCTTCAATATAACACGCCGAGTCTTTGTATTCTAACTAACAACATAAAATATATAATGAGAAGAGAAAAACTTCAAAAATCTTCAGGTTTCGTACGTGTTGAGTCAGAAATGCTACCGACGTGTCAATTGTTTCCAACGCGCGCATGAATTCTGATGTTGTAGGATCAATACCGCGTCGATGCTGATAAACTTGCACTGCTTTATTTGGGTCTATTGTTACTGTGGAAGAAGCTCGAGGTTTTGATGCATTCTCCATCAAAACGTGATTTTTTGATCCACTAGAAGGAGCTGCAAACTTAACTCCGAAGCCCAAAGTATGCGCTACATTATCAATAGCCGTAAAATGAGGCATGGGAGCAGCAATTAAAGCTACACGAGCATCAAGCGCTGCTACTTGTTGTAAAACGTCTTCAAAACTTTGATACAACGCTTGGGTTTTTCTAGTCACTTGAGAATGACTCGCTTCCATTTCAGCCACTAAAGCCTGAGTTTCATGAGCTTGGGTATATATTTTGCTCCATTGTGACATACAACGATCAATTTGAGATGAGAGATGAATAAACGAAGGGTCTAACTCAACAGAAGATTCTGTTTTACTTGGACGTTGTGCAATAAATTCGCGCAGCGTTTCCGCCACCTTTGAATGTTGTTGCGACCGTAAATGAGATGCATGTGTTTCTGCTTGTGTTTTTAATTGCACCTGATGCTCAAGTGATTGCAAAAGCGCATCTTGCTTTGCAGTGAGACGCGTGTCCAGAACCCCTCGTGGTGCTGTTGATTGTATCATAATCGAGAGTTACAACCTAATCAAAATACTAGGCTCTAAAATGCATTCAAATTTTCTTTTGCCATTTTGACAATTTCAAAATTCGCGATATTCATCGAGCCGCCGTCACTATTCCCACTCTATTCTCATCCAAGGTGGCTAATTCTCCCTACATCGTCCCAAACCACTTGTTTTTTAGCTTGCTGGTCACCACTTTCCGGTAGTTGGTTGTTTTGGTCTCCTTTGTAGTACGATGGGTTTCACATGCGGCCCGTACCGATATCACACTAATTATTGTCTTCTTTGTCCTTGCTTCCTTGTTTCCCGTCGATGTTTATATTTTAACCACTGCTTCTTTTTGCTTCATTCCAATTTCAAGCCTTTGCTTTGGCCTCGCTAAGTCTTACGAACTTCGGAGGTATGCCCCATATGAGGAATAATGAGACTCTGACAGATCAGTAAAACAAGTATCCATCTATCAGCGTATCAATGTTTGTAACTACAATTAACTTTCTTAATAAAATACACTCGTTATCCTTTCTAAAATCAAGGATGTAGCCAACTTGACCTGCAGGGGGCTACCATAGCTCTTTCACTTAGAGGAAGCTGAGCCAAGGTCCTTCTTCGTCTCCTGCACGCGGTTCAACTTCGGACAGCACGTCCGCGGCTTCAAGGGAAGCGTATCCCAAGCCCTCGGCAACCGGCCACCGCGCATTGCGCCGACGTATTATCTCATCGAGAATTTGGAGGAAGTCGACTACGAGTCGGATACTCCTAGAGGATAGCAAGAGGCGCCAGCGGCGCGACGTGAGCCCTGCTCAAACCGTGCGGATACCGTATCCGATTCCCGACCTCTCGACTTTAGGAGGAAGTGGTGTTATTATCAATCGCCTCGACGAGGCATAGGAGTAGCGGTTGGAAGCTGCTCACAGGGCGGCTCTCATACGCTCGTATCAATGTTCGGTCCTAGACCCTCGTGTGGAATATGGCTTCCGCTCGGCGGATCCCGCTACAGCTTATGCAAGCCCACATAAAACACTGGGTGGGTGCGCATCCTTCTCCGCAGATTTAGCATACACGCAAGGCCTCGCTTGGCCACGACCTCAAATGGTCCGATAAAGCGTGAACGGGGCTTTTTCGTAAAACTGCATGTATTTGAAGGTTTTCGCATTTACTAAAACCAGGTCTCCGACCTCAAAGCTTTCAACATTTCTTCTTCTTCTGTCGTCTGCGTATTCTTTATGCATGTATTGGCTTTTACCCATCGCATTGCGAGCGCGTCGTATGACAAGCAGTCTGGTAGACAGGAAGTCATCGGCTCCTTTATGAACAATGAGGGGGTTGATATCAGCTAGCCGCTCCGCTATTCCCCCACCAAGTTCTGAGCCATGGAATGACGGTCTCAGCGAGACGCGAGGAGGATCAAGATCGTTCTCGTAGAGCAGCTTGCAGCCGGTAGACGAATGCACTGCATTGATCAGAGCGAACTCTACGTGCTCCAACTCCACGGCGTCTCAGCGCAGACGCTGCGAAGGACAACTTTAACGACGCGATTCACGCGCTCGGTTTGACCATCGGCCTGTGGATGGGTCGGTATTGACATAGTCAACCTGGTGCCCAGCACCCTGAAGATTTTCGACCAAAACTTCCCAGTTGAGCTTGGGTCTTTGTCAGAGACAGTTGGCTTCGAAATTCGATCTTTTCGAAAGACACGATCCACAAACAGCCGTCGCTGTACACACACCGTCGAAGGTATACGAAACTGCCGCAAGATGAGCCATCTTGCTCAAAGTGTCCACAAAGACCACCACACCCATCTTGCCCGCCGAGAGCTTCGGCAGGCCAAGCACAAAGTCCATACTATAAACCGCCAACACCGATGAACTAACCAGAGTAGCCGCCGCATTCGAAGAGGGTTTCACCCTTTGGCACATCTACCACGCGCCCCCAAATGTGCTCGTCCATTTTTGCCTGGACCACCAAAAGTGGCAACTCACGGAGCTGTAGGTCTTCTCACGACCGAGATGACCATTGAATGGGGTGCCGTGGGTCTCATAGAGAGTACGGTATTTCAAATCCTCATCTTAAGGAACCAAAATTTCGTGGCGTTTCCGTCGAGTCGATGCTATAATACAGCAACCCGATATTCAACGGCTACCGGTTGGACCGTGCGCGCGGTCGCAACGACAACTGCTTGTCCGACCTTCGATAACCCTTGCTCCCGCGACCCTGTAGCGGTTCTACATACATACTGTCACTTGCGTATGCGGCGCGGATCAAATCCGTCGCTGATGACGTCACAGTCGTGAGATATGCAAGCTCATAGTGCGGTCTGCGTGACAACGCATCAGCCACAAAATTCTGGTTTCCTGGCTTATACTTTACCTCGAAGTTATATTCTGCAAAGAATGAGAGCCACCTGGTCAAACTCTGCAAAAGGTGAGGAGACTGATTCACAGCGAATAATAACGCATGATCTGTGTAGATCAGAAACGGCTTTGAGCCCAGCAGGTGCACACTGAACTTGACAAGTGCATACTTCATCGCAAGTAATTCCTTGTTGTGGACTGGGAAATTTCTCTCCGCAGCCTTAAAACTATCGAGATTCGACTCGATCTCGCCCCTCGGCTTCTGCTTGCATCAGTGTACAGCCGATGGCAAAGTCCGAGGCACCGCAGACGACGCTAAAAGGACGCTCGGGGTCTGGCAATGCCAGTATTGGTGCATGAAAAGGCTGTCTTTGACCCTGTCAAAAGCCTCCCGATGCTCATAGTCCCAACACCATTCCTTATTTTTCTTAAGGAGATTCGACAATGGCCGTGCCATTTCCGCATAATTTGCGCTATACTTGTGCAAGTAGTTGGCGAGGCCTAGCCATTTGCGCTAGTCGTTTTGCTTCTTTGAAACTGGCCTGTCCTTTGACCTTCACTGGATCTACTTGAAGGCCACACTTCGTAATAAAGCACCCTTAAAAGGAATTTTTACGCCAAAGATGCACATATTTGCATTAACATACGGCGTATTCGTGCACCTGCACTCGACACCGCTCTCAAATGGACGATGTGATCTTCTTCATCTGCCCTCCTGTGCCCCGCACGACTGTGGACGAAAATCTTGCCGAAGTTTGTTATTGCATACGCACGATGGGGCTTGAACAACTACGTCACAATACGATTAAATGATGTTGATGCATTTGACAGCCCTTGGGGCATCACCATCCACTCTCAGAACATGCCGCTCGAAGCGCTTCGCTGGAATGACTACAAGTGCTACCAAGCGCAAAGGGTCTGCCGAGGAATCTGTACAGAGGGTTATCACACGCTCTCATGAGCACATCAACTAAGCGCGCTGTACTTTGTACGGCCAACCCTATTGTTCTGAAGAATATCTTTTTAAAAATTGGGGTCTGTGCCAGAATGGTGGCAGCGTTCAGCTCAATGTAAGCGTGGACGATACACCACTAGCCGTTCGGCTTTCGGACACAAAACGTGGATGTCGAATGTAGAGACTTGCTCTCACGCACCATAAGGCGTCAATGACGTCACACTGTTTCTTGGACAGGATCATTGGCGTTGTACGCAGTATTTGTTATTCGGAACCAGGTCACCTCGGCCCAGAGGTAGAAACGACGGCGGGGCTATGGAGACGACGCCTTGAAATTCCTTTACCGAAGAATAGTACGAATCCGATGATCCTTCAGAATCGACGATTCAATTCGTACATTCAGCACCCTCTTGGTGTCTTCTAGACCAACTTCAACCAGAAGCGACGACGAGTCAATCTCCTCTTTGGGTCCTATAATCACCTTTTCGGCTAAATTTCCTGCCATCAAGGCACCGCCAAACTCTTCGAAGGATATCCAGTCCAGCTCAAGAAGAGCATTCACTGTCGGAATAGCCTTGAGGGTGACATCGCCGTCTTCCTTTCCTGTCGTACCGCTAAAACGGTATATAGCTGTGCGCTAATGTCTACGGTAGACACACCCTAGGTCAGGGTCGACGCCCTGCGTCTTGCAAATGTCATACGGTATCACCGACTCCTCTCTATAGAGGTTTTACGTCTCATCGAGACCAGTGGGATCACACGCTCAGCGTTGTCCAGTGTCTCCACTCTCCGCTCCATCAAAGCCTTAGTGTCATTAACAACATTTGGCAAAGAGCTGTTAGTTCCGCAGTCTTCGTCCAGTGGATATCGTGCTACTACACGTGCATCAGAAGGTAAAAAAACAAGATGCCTCGGACCTCGTCCGACCATGCCACTCTTGGCCTGCAGCAACTGCTTTGTTACTTGAGCAGTGCTCAGTGGGTGATGTGCCGCTCCACCTCAGCCCGCAAGCCATGCTCGGGACACTTGTCTAGTACAACTTCGGTGTTTGACAACTCGGATATCTAGTACATTGACCGTCCCGGTCCAGTGCCCGCGCCAATAGCGCTTCTTCTTCCAAGCAGAGGTGAGTTCATGACTCACCAAAGCTCAACCAGGAGACGTGTGTGTAGCGTGCACAAGATCTTCGACCTCTAATTAAACCATGGTTCATGGTGCTCCAACTCTGCCATACCAAGAAAAACGTCATACCTTGCATCCAAGTCTAAGACTAAGCCGCGTTCCACGCTATCGAAGGCAACAAACTTGACACCGAGGTCCACAGGGATCCTCGGCACAGTGACACAAGCCCCCGTCGCGATGCGAACAGTGACGTTGTCACTCAACGGCGCTTTCAGCGCCTAAGCATACAGCTGATATCCTTCGATCGTGGGGCGTCGAGCATAATTGTCCGGCGCCCCGGGTTCGATCAGGATGTTCCATGGATTCTTAATGCCCCTCACGGTCGCTTTTACGATCAGCAAGCCCGGCTTTGCGTACACGTTCCGTGTTCAAGAGCACGAAGTTCGTCGGGGCTGGGCCCTGCTGCCCATTACCTCTTTGAGGTACAACAAAAATCAATTCTTCCCCAGTAGGGCGCTTTGCACCTACTGGGGTCTCTCGGTCCCCGCGATAACCCAGACTGGTTAGAACCGAGACGTCGGTTCGATGAACCTTTACGCGCCTTGCGCAGGGGACATTCTGTCCGATGGTGACGTCCCCATGACAAAACTCCGTCAGGTGTTTCAAAGCTGTCCGGCAGCTCATAGCTCTCCTCCTTTTTCTCAGCATATTGACTCAGGCCTGCTCGGCGAGCTCTGACGGTGTGCATTCCAACCAAGTCGTGCTAACTTAAATTGAATTTGGCATTCAGCGCCTCATTCGTCGCATCGTCAAAGGAAGACGGATGCACACGGAAGGCTTCCATTCTGGCCACGCCAGTGCGAGGCCCTCCATAAAAACGATCACTGCGACCACCTCGGGAAGATGATCGGCTGCTATCCCGGCAATACGAGTCATCAACTCTTGGACAAAGTCTACCAACTCCTTTTTGCCCTGTTGGGCAGCAAGAAAACGCGATCGACCGCGATATGCCTGATTACACTCGCAGAAATTGACACTTCAGCTCCTTCTAGGAGAGGAACGCAGCTTCAACCGGTTCATCGCACGTTAGTGCTCATTCTTGCGCTCAGCTCCCGAGCTTGAAGATAGCTAGCGCCACGCACTGTTGCTCGTTCTGGAGGATGGAGGATGCCATAGCTATCTCGGCTTCTCTTACCCAGAGCAGTAAATTATCTCCATCCTCACCCTCGAATGTCTTAACGCTTATGAGCGGCCCGGGTCGAGAAGAATCAAACGTCCTTGACGGTGGCGTCATGGACGCAGTCGACGCTGACAGCTTCTGCTGTATGTGCTCTGACAGAGCATTTTCATAATATGAAAACGCCTCTAGGCGCGCTCCTCGCTTCGAGCCCTTGCGAAACAAGGTGCTCCACGCCCTCAGGGCCTAGCAGAGACATCAGCTTTTTAAGCCCGTCCTGCATGCCCAGGGGCAAATAGGAGTATTGCTCCATCCTCACCAAGGATCAGTCGTAACGACTCAGGCATAAAGTGAATACGGGTGCTACCAAGTGCAGCGTAGCTGCCTTAGCTCCTTGCTAAAAAAACGTAAGATCACCGACCTTTCGTTTTTTACAAGAACCAGTACGAGTGTAGCGCGCTAACTCCAAGAGTACTTTTTACCTTAACCAAGGTAAAGACATATATTCCGTTCATAAATTACAACTGTGTTTCATTGTTTTAGTCGCGGCAGAACCGCCAATCTTCAAAACTGAGGTTTCCCTGATTAAGATAATTATACCTATTTAATATAGTGAAACATAACTACTCTATATTACAACTGGCAGTCCTGCCAAGTAGTGGCTTCTTGTAGCGAAGTAATCACACCATTGTGTGATTACACCAACTTGTGCTAATCTCACCTGTGTACGGTCACACAAGATGGTGTGTCCCGCCCTTTCATCAAGGGTACGCGTAACCCCGTTACACTAAGATTTAGTATATAGGCCGCGTATTCTGTTGCGTCTCCATATGAAGTAGTGTACCTTACATGCAAGTGAGAAGTCTTGAATCAGTTTCGCTAACGTGCAAAACATCATTATCGACCTTTCTGTGTGGGCCTGATCACACGCTTTACCATCTGATTTGCTTCTCCTAAATCATCAACAAACACCTTGAGCTCTTCATTCCTTTCAATACATATTGTGTTATTATGGCAATTGAACTCTCGTTCATCGTACGTCATTCAAGACTTAAATTTTCAAGCCCCCGCGTGCTATGTCTTTGGCAAAAACATTTTACTCTAGTAGATCTCATACTTGATAAAAAAATTGTATACCAGTTCACTAAATTGACTCTCGGCATCAGCGCCCCTTTGAGGCTCGAGGAACTTACACTATCAACTACGTCAGTTGCGTTGCTCATCGTGCCTTTCCGTTCATTGCTTGTTTGCCATGTGCATAGAGGAAGCTAATCACATTTACTTAATTCGTGGGCGTTGTCCTAGATGTTGTTCCTTCTCGGCTATCTTGGTGGGCAACCACCAAGGGTACTAACTTTGGAAAAATTAAACTTATAACCCTTACTGCAGGTCTCTGTCACAGCATTTTTGCTCTCTACCGATACCGACATAATCTCTTCGACAATTCAGAGTGTGCGTGGCTTTTGTACTAATACAAATTTTCGAATATGTGTTGTCAGAGCCACAAACAAAATCCCTATGTTATCCGTGCGACATTCAATTCGAGCTCTACTCAAATTCTCAATATCAAGCGCCACAAATCCGCAATTCTTTCCGGGCACACTTGCTGCGTTCCGCAATGAAAAAAAATAAACCTTGGCTTCCAGCAGTCCGTGAAAGATTATGCGCAGCTCCAAATTTGCCACTTACTGAATGTTCAACAGTCGCACTCGGAACTTCTTGTGCAGTGCCGATAATCCCAACATCATCAGATCATTCATTGTCAGCTTCATTGCTCCTCTAAGGTACGCCAATCACGCAGCCAAGTATCCAATCGGCCCTGAATCGGGATCGCAAATTTTCTACGCAAACTTTGCGCTATCTTTTTCAGTCCTGCCCTTCACGAACTTAGCCATCCCTCATTGATATACACCGCCTTTCCGTATATATAGCGCTTCCATGCAATCCTTAGATATGATCAAACGTATTTAGGACAGTACCTGTTCGCCTTTCCCTTACCTCAATATTTGCCGATTAGCGAAGTCTGCCGGACCTGTTGCCTGCAAAAGATAGTCCGTTCGAGCCAGATTTAATTTGGACAGCACAAGAGCTTTAATCGCAAGGTTTTGATAATGATCAATCTGTCCAGCTCAAGGTTATGCGCGCCCCCACATTCCTGACTAATACTTGCTAGTTATAGGTAGTGTGCTGTTTCAGATATCTCATTCCCCCAGCCGAATCTTGATTCTTTCGTATGCATTATCGCAGTTTGGTAACCTCTGTATTGTATGCTCCAGTGTAGGTTACTCTTCTCCCTATGCTTGACTTGATGAGCTTAATGCCTTCCCACCTCCGGAAATTTGACCCCCCAGACTTGTCAAGTTCAGGGTGCACCTGTATTCAACAGCAATGCACCCACTCCGATTGAGTGATTCCGCAATTTACGATTCTGGGCAATCCGAATGCTGCAACCAGTAGGATCTAAAAATCAATAGCAAGGTCTTTCGAGTTGGCTGTGATTTACTTCAAGTACTGGCAAAAGTTTCAGATCGTTCTTTCTCAGATTTCTGACTGAAGGAGAAGCGTCTCATCACCCACTTTACGGCTTACGAGCCAGCTATAGTGAGGTTGACGTCCAACCAGACGCCTTTCAATTCATGAAACATAAAATGGCTCCATGCTTGGCGATGTCTGTATTGGCCAAGCACTGAGACTCGCAAAGAGATTTGACGTGCTGCCATAGCCAAAACAGCCCGCGGGATCCAGCAACATGCGAGTCATGTTTCACTGACTTTGTTCGAATAACAAGGGGTGTAAAAATTTTACTGGAGCAGAAAGCTGGCTAGCGGGTCCACCGAGCTCTAAGTTAGTATTCGACGCAGTGGAAGGGATATCTTCACTCTACAAGATTATAAACTTGTGAGATCCCATTACGACAAGACTTTTTGGCACTGTTGTCTTTTTTAACTTGGCGAACCCTCAGTTGTTACCTTTTAAAATTGTGAGACAGAGTTGCACCGGGAAATACGCCTTCCTGAATTCGTTCTTCTTTCAATTTCTATACTTAGCTGGTAGATGTACCTGTAGATTCAAAGCGATGAGCATGACTCCTTACAGCAAATACATGAGGTGCTGAGCGTCCACCTTGACGTCTATGCTGCTCTCTGTACTTTTGCAATGCATAAAATGTCAAAAGAATTCAGGGGATAGCTACCCCAGTTTTGAAAGGAGATAAAGTCTCTACTTATGTGTAGTGCGTTATTCAGCGCAAACTCAACGGGTGGTGAAATTTTTGATCCCGAATCGCGGTCACTCTGTGCAGGTGTGAGTATTGCATTCCGTCTATCCAGTTAATGACGGATTCTGTGCTGGCCATGTCCGATTCCGGTGCCGATTTTCTTGAGCGAAATCTGCCGAAATTTTGCTGTGCAGCACGGATCTTGATTTAAATTAATGACTGCTGGCAAATTTAATATCAAACATTATGTCGCGCTACAGGTTGGCTGTATCCTCACCGGTAAGGATCTCGATACAGCAGCGAGCTGTGCGATTATGTTTGGATGGGCCGTAAAATTACAATGCTGGTATCTTCCGATGCTTTCTTGGCAGTTTATAGAATTCCTTACTTATGGACTGAAAATACTCTATTGGTGGTTCAGGGCGCCTGATTTCAATCTATCGACACTTTTTCGCACATGAACCCATTCGATCACCAGTACATAGCGATCACTGTACGAGATTATTTAGATATCCATATCGTGTACTCACCATGGTTTCCGGTTGCTATGCCGTTGTGGGCCTATGTGTGCAAGCCTTTTGCTCAGACAAATTGTAAACGAAAGCTCAAGGCTGCCGTACAAGCGCTTTCTGACCTTCAGGGTCACCGCTTCTAAAAAATGTTGCTTGCGCCTTTATTTTCTCATCCGTATAACAGCTTCAGCGAAGCAAACGTCAGACTAAATAGTTTTTGATGCTTTACTTAATAAGGTATGCACTCTGTTTCATAAATTACTTTGAAAAAGCTGAATGTTGTGTCGTGCCATTAGGCCGTAATGGATGTGCAGCAGATCAACACCTTCACTTTGCGGATGAAACTTGGGTCAACTATACAAACAACTCTACAACCATAGAAGACAAGACAACAAGCCAAACAATTGCACACACTTATCTAGCAAGTGCTCACAATGAAAAAATACTTTTATCTAATGAGGACCAAAATAAAGACAATTTATCTCTTTGAGCTATCATCGTCCAAGTCTCATCTTTATAAAGCATTATGTTCCTTGTCCTCATATCCCTAAAGCTTCAATTCGCACGATAATTCGCACGATAATTCGCTCCATCTGTTCGTGCCCAAAAGCTTTGATGCTTCGCTTTACAAATCTCCGCCATTTACACGTTCAGAGCTTTTGTAATGATGCGCTCTTGCTCAATTTGGTGCACAGCATTGTATCCAGTCGCAGGGGCTGCTGCCGGTGCACGCCCGATAAATGTTGGCCGACGCGAATCGCTATTTAGCTGCGTCAATGCCGTCTCTAAACGCGGCGCCACATATGTCCAGAATCCCATATTCAGCGGTTCTTCTTGCACCCACTTGATATCAGCATTTGAATAGCGTGCAGCCTGTTCTGCCACCTTGTCAAACGGGAACGGAGCAATCTGTTCCACTCGCACAATAGCCACATCCTTAATTCCCTTCTCCTGACGTTCTTGTGCAAGTTCGTAGTATATTTTACCAGTACAAAAGATAACACGCTTAACTTCATCGTCCGCTACCAATTGCTCAGGTGAGACTTCTGGAATGAGACGTTGAAATTGCGTGCCTGCAGCCATATCTTCGAGTTTGGAAGACGCTTGACGAAGACGTAACAAATGCTTTGGCTGCACTGAAATCAATGGTTTGCGAAAGTCACGATGGATTTGACGACGTAACACGTGGAAATATTGTGCAGGGGTCGAACAGTATACAACTTGCCAGTTTGTATGTTGAATCTGCATTCGATTTTCCTCGTCCATCAGTGGCACAACATTTGGATCATCATCTGTATTCTGCAGGTATCGTTCCACACGACATGACGAGTGTTCCGCACCTTGTCCTTCATATCCATGCGGTAATAACATCACAAGTCCCGATTGACGCATCCACTTGTCTTCGCCAGAGCTAAGGAATTGATCGATCATGATCTGTGCACCGTTGGCAAAGTCTCCAAATTGCGCTTCCCACATAATCAAAGCGTTTGGATTTTCAAGTGAATATCCTAATTCAAAACCCAAGACACCAAACTCTGATAGCGAACTGTTAGATGCAACGAATTCGGCCTGTGTGTCTGGAACATCATCGCCTCCTGGAGTCTTGTACGCTAGTGGAGCAGATGGAATCGTTTTGTTTGCAAGATGATTCAGTGGTACGTATGTTTCGTTCGTCTCTTGGTCATGTAGCACAGCATGACGGTGACTAAAGGTACCGCGCTCGACATCCTGACCACTAATTCGCACGTGATTTCCTTCAAGCAATAACGTACCCCATGCAAGGGCTTCTGCAGTACCCCAATCAATGCCTTCTCCTGCCTCAATCGCACTCTTTTTCGCCGTCATAATACGATCCAATTGGCGATTCACTTTGAAACCAGGTGTGACGGTGCTAATTTTCTCTCCAACGTGCTTAAGCACATTCATATTTACACCCGTTGAACGAATTCGCGATTGCTGATTTGGACTTTTAAAAGATTCCCAACGATTCGCAAGCCAGTCACTTTTCTTCGTGTCTTCCCACTTTTCTGTCTCGTCAAATGTTCGTTGAAAAAAGTCCCAGACTTTCGATACTTTGGCATCACATTCTTCTTTTGATGCAGCACCAGACGCTAAAAGCTCATCGACATACTTATCAAGTACCGATTTCATTTGACCAATTTTCTTATACATTAAAGGCTGCGTAAAAAATGGATTGTCCACTTCATTGTGTCCAAAGCGACGATAACACGTGAGATTAATGATCACGTCTGAGCGCCACTTTTGACGCCACTCAGCAGCAAACTCAAAGACTTTAACAACTGACACTGGATCATCACCATTTACGTGTAAAATTGGTACGTCCATGGCTTTCCCCAAATCTGTGCAATATTGAGATGATCGCGAATTCTTTGGATCTGTTGTAAAACCAATTTGATTATTTACAACAACATGCACTGTACCACCTGTGTGGTAATTATCCAAACCAGATAAATGCATTGTTTCGTACACAACTCCTTGTCCACTAAATGCAGCATCACCATGCAATAATAATGGCATCACCTTCTTTTCTGCTTCTGCATCATTACCCAAATAAAATTGTTTTGCACGCACTTTACCCACAACAACAGGATCTACTGCTTCTAAATGTGAAGGATTTGCTACAAGTGACAAATGCACTTGTCTTCCATCTGGATAAGCACGATCATACGATGTACCAATATGATACTTAACATCTCCAGCATTTGACCAATCTTCTACATCTCGTTTATTGTATGATTCAACATCTATGTGTGTTCCTTGAAATTCTTTAAAAATTTGTTGAATAGGCTTTCGAATCACGTTTGATAAGACATTTAAACGACCACGATGGGGCATTCCAATCACCAAATGTTCCATTCCTAACTCCGTACCACGATCAATCATGAACTTGAGACCAGGAATCAAACTTTCAGCACCATCGAGACCAAATCGCTTCGTTGTATTGTATTTATTCCCTAAAAATCGTTCAAATACGACGGAAAATGCCAAACGTTCAAGAATATGCATCTTTTTCTGCTTGGATTCTTCATCTTGAACTAAATGTTCCATTTTAGCACGAATCCAATTACATTGTTCTCGATCAAGAATGTGCATGTATTGCTACAAGATAACAATAAAAATGCAATACAATAGTCAGTACAATACAACGTGAGATTAAGTGATTGTGAGTATGAGACTTACTACACCGATGGAGCTGCAATAAGTTTCTTTAAGACGCTCAATAATTTGACCAAGTGTCATGTTGTTGTTACCATCAGCTAATTCCTCCAAGAAACCGGAAACTCCTGATGAGCTGATAAATGTAAGTATACGAACAATAATCATTTAATAGTGTATACACGTATGAACAATAATATCAATACTCACAAATTTTTCGGGATAGCAATAACACGATCGAGATCTTTCTCTGTAAATCCATACATCTTAATATCCAATACAGGAAGTGAAGGACGTTCCTGTAGACCCAATGGATCTAAATTAGCCGCCTCGTGACCACGCACTTGATAGGCACGAATGAGATAACTCAATCCAAGTGCATCATTCTGTTCACTAGACAAAGTTGCTGCACCACCTACAGACCGTACAGGAGTAACACCTTGTTGAATTGTTGGTGGTGGGATAAAAGCCTCGCCAGGCACGCTACCACTCTCCACCTGACGAAAGTATACATCCCATGATTTGTGCACACTACATTGCAGAATATTGAGAATTATTTTACTAACACGAAGAAATACATTAAGAAATAACAAACCTTTTTGGATCACTCTGCCAACTTAAGTACATTTCTTCGACATAGGCATTATTGTTCCCTGTCATAAAAGTCTCACTTGGGTGTGGTGTTGATGAGAATGCACGCATCCATCGAGCAGCTACATCTTGAGGCAAATTTAAACGCGAGGAATTTACACGCACAGACGATACGCTGGTGCGCATGCTGCGACGAGCGACCTTGGCGAGCCACTGCTGTGTCATTTTTTAGGTTAAGGGGGGGCCTGGGCTGTAGATAGGAAACTGAGGCTGAGATTAAAAGTACTAAGAAAACGGTATGCGACATGACAGGTTGGACAGGCTTAGATACTGTTAAGTTCGCACATTCGATTTTTTAGTATGCAACAAGATCCAAAGATTATACATTGTAATTTCTTATCTTGGTAACCTTTCAAAAGATAGCGCGCTGAAGATAAATTATCGTGTAGCATATTCACTGATTTAATAAAAATTTACATGATTGATGCTACGTGATGGTCGTGAACATAAGTGGATTGTTAGGATAAATGAAAATCGTAAGAACGAGTTTCTATGTTGTCCATTAACTAACACTTGATCTTATAGCAATGAGAACGTAGGATAGTCTTGATGCAATGACTGTCAGTCGGAAAAACATGATCTCTTTAATAAAGTTCAGCAATTTGTACTTTACAGAATTTAGGAAAAAATCAACTTTGAAACCACCTTTTATTTAGTAACCCATTTCCAGGCAATAATTCGAAGGTGAAAAAACTCATTAACGCTATGATTCTCAGCTTAGCGTTATTTGAAGTATAGTAGGAGTTGCATGTCCTAAATGTTGCTAGTTGTTGAGTTATGACAGGCATCAAGACTAAGCTGATCATGTCCGTACTTGTGCTCAAAGTGACAATGTGGCAACATTGTACTGGTTATGTCCCAAAGGAGAAATTCGCCCCATTGTGCTTCAGCATTTCATACCATTGTGTAACCTTTTCGTAACCAAGTGGTTGCCCCTTATGAAACGAACAAGTTAATGACTACATTAAAGTAGTGAACAATATATATGATGTGATCATTCACTTAATTTCAATTTGACGATTAATGATCGATTGGTCAACAGAATTTAAGCGCAACTTACTGATTACAGATATTGAATTACGGAATGATAATTGAGCGCTTAGTATGACGTAAAATGCTTTATGGATCACTTCGATAAACGAGAATGTTGCATATTGAATAGAAATTCCGCAACTTTGATGAAAGCATACAATATATAGTACGTACGCAATCATGTCAAAAAATACTACGAACATTAGAACAAATAGTATGAGTTTACATGATAACTATCATTATGTATCGTGTAATGCTATGAATGGTGAAAAATCTAGCAGTCGATGGCATCTGATTAAGTTAAAACGTTTATAGGAAAAAAAAATTTTGCTACAAATTGAAAAGAATGTCGAGTTCTTGGTCACAAAACTCAACATTCTTTTGAATGAGATATCGCGGAAAGCAGCATACCGAATTTCGTGCGTCTCAAAGCAATAGACATCCCTCTATTCATTCTGTGCCGCCAAAACATTCTTTATGCACGTACGTGGTTGGAAATGCTCTAAAGTCTAAAAGTTACTTTGCAGAATTTCACTAAGTCGGCTATCGGTGAGAATCTTCTGAAGTGACCAATCATCCACATCATTATTGCCACCCGCCGATGCTTTCCACGTCCAGAGTGTCCAACCTCCTTCCGCCGCTTCATGTATCTTTAATTGTTCCATTACAAACGTGTAAAACATATTTGGATTGGTTCGTCGCATGTTGCAGGCATTCGCCATGCTCCACTCGCCAATAAACAACTTGTTATGGCCTGGACGTGCGTTCCACTTGTCCACACGCTCTTTGTACTCGCGTTTAATCGCAACATTTATCAGGTAATCAGCTGACTTGTCCTCGAAACCCCATACAAAGTACGGGTGCCACTCGACCCAAACATTCGTATATTCTGGTGCTTCCATGACACCCATCAGTTCCTCCGGCCTTTGCTTCTGTAGCATTGGCATGATACTCAAAATACAATTGCTCCCAGTTGAACGGACAGCTTGATACGCGTCCTTGTAATACTGGTATACAATTCTCTCGTCCGTGTTGCCGTTTGGTTCATTTAGCAAACCGATGCCGAGAAATGCTACGTCATTCTGATACCGATTAGCTAGAAAACGAGCCACTTCAATAGTATTGGCCACATTCTCTGAATACTGGCTCCAGAATGTGTGTCCTGGACTAGCAGGTGAAGAATGATCAGCTCCATTTTGTGAGCCTTTAGCAGCATGAAGACTCAGTAATACTGCGACATTGTGCGTCTTGGCCCAATTTTTAATGAGCAAATCCAAGAATGCAATCGATCCTCTTGTATACGCTTGCCACTCGCGTTGATTAGCGGGGTCGTCATTGTCGTAGCCTAGAATCCAGAATCCTAATGGCACTCGAACCGTGTTGAGTCCTGCTTTTGAAATTTGAACAATGTCATCTTCTGTGATATAGGTTGCATGATGGCTTCCCAATTTCGAGCGAATATGATCTGGATTCGATGCTTTGGTGATACTAGTATATTCCCCAGAATTGACAAATCGATTATCGATACCTTGCCAGAAATCTGCATTGGCAGTCATCCAGTGTTCGGCAACCAGCCAACCACCGAGATTTACACCACGACTTTTGACTAAACCATCGCGAATGTCACCACAAATATGGCGAGATTCTGGATTTTCTACGCGGGTAGAATTACTATCAAAGTCGATGGCAGCAGAGCAAAATGCTATGATTACCGTCCCAACCGTAAGAAAGGCATCAATGTTGTTGAGTCGCATCATTGATGGAGAGGATGCAAAAGTCAAAGTGCTCAGCACTTGAACGCCAAAAAGATTGTGGTAAATTGTTTAGATGAAGGACAACCTGGAGTTGAGTGGCTTGAACGTGTGAGCTATTACCGAGAATGACAAATTCTATGTAATCAGACAAACTTTCGACAACGAACCCGATATTTTGACAACACTGTCTCACTCACGTGCACAACGACAACATGGCGTGCGCTCAGCATTCCTAGATGGACAAATATCGTCGTACTTTTAAAGGTGTGACAATGAATGGACACTTGAACTCTTAGTAACCATTGAGGATAAAGATAAAGCTTACTTACAACATAATCTAACAAGGGCTATTTAGTCGCTCATTCGTTTAATCAGATGCTAAATGGAATGCATGGTGTATGTGCTGAAAACTTTTGGACTCAATTGCAAATGATGTCTACAGTTAAGCTTGTCAGCTTCATAAGACGAAAATAGATACCATTAATGGTTTGACAGAAACCTAGAATTGTCTGACGATCCTCCTAGAACTCGCTCTTTGACTTTCATTACACTGACTTAAGGTCTACTGCACTTGCTAAATATTTGTATTACGAGATCAAAGATGAGACTCTTGCCTTAAGAAAGCTGGGTGACAATACTCTTGTCTCGGCATACGTCAACATTATCCTACCACGGACGATCGTCAATACGATAGCTGATTCAACTTACCACTTCAGCATTGCGTGACAATGGAAGGTCGCTGAAAGACAGCATATTGAAGGTCCAAAAGTACTAAGAAATTTATCTGTTTGAATATCATGAATTTGGTCGCATTCTCGAGTATTGACCATGAAGTAATATTGTGTTATCATTGAGATGCATGATCGTATTTTTTTATCGAATATGGGTTTAAGCAAATATGTGCATACAAATCCCAGCACGTTGGTAATAAAGTATCCTTCAACAGTTAGGTGATCGTTTGTTCGGTATCCAGCAAAGCTAATATCAACCATCACAAAGTGAGCATAGCGTTAATAATTCGCAAGAGATGCCCGGATTCAAAGTATAGAAATTTTCTGGTCTAAACTCGATATTTAACACGCGCTGAGAGGGATCATGATGTCTGCAGCTCATCCCTGATGGACCACAGATGAGGGAATCCGCATTTGCATGATGATTGATGCTGTGGTTTATTACCCAACAGCTTCATAATAGGGAGGTAAGGAGCGCATAACTCTTGAGTTAATATCTTCGCTGTCGATATACAATATCTGATCAAAACATTGTCCAAAAAAAAAATGTCGGAGCCGAGGCATACCCGGCAACCCGAGCCAACACAATGACGGAAGTAGACGGACAATTCTGATGCCCGATTTCCAATAGCAATCTGCACATTTTTAAATCCTCATCAAAAAGGCTAAACGATTTCAAAAGATGTAAACACTCTGCTCGAGCATTATTACAGAACGTCAAACCGGAAAATCGTGAACAAGAACCAAGTTAGGTGATAGACAAAGGGGGTAGGGGGCAGAAGTATCGAAGCAAAGCTAAAAATGTGCTTGTGCTGACATCTTGTTTGGGAAGCGGCGCCGACAACTCATTCAATCAATTAGAGCTCAAAGATGCGACTAAAACGACAAAATGAGCATCAATATAAAAGACATTGCACCGTAGACCGCTCGGTATTGATATTTATACTGTTATTTAGATGACTGGATGTTGGATTGATATTGTTACGAAAGCTCAAGTGTTTTGTCGAAAATAAATAATTACTATCGAATAAACATTCACAAAGCTTGAATCTAAAGAGACGGTGGAAGATATGGACCCCATTAGTCAATTAAGAATGATTCGAGCGACCTTATCTCAACGAGACTAACGAAATTAATGACAATCACGGTAAGGACAAGATAAGCAAGGATAATTGTAGACAAAGGTAGTCCGCCAACGAGATTGATCGTCCAAATGGCGTCGACAGGTTTGAAGTTAATTCCAAAAAGCGTGAATTTCGTTTCTTGTGGTCTTTTTGTGCATAATTAGCTTTTTGGATAAAAGTTACTTGTGTCACACATTACAATATACTGAATAATATCTAAGAGCTATTGCGATTGCAAATTTCGTTTGGATGGCGCTTGTTGTTGTGAAGAATCTGCCATTTTTCGTAAAAAGATCCCACATAAGTTTAAATTTGATCTCTAAGCTGATCGCAATAAGGAAAACAAAATGAATTCTTGAATAAAAGACACTACTTGCTTTGGCAGGTTAGCAATCTTCAACAATGTAAAGTGATCTTGATCTTAGCCTGTTCTCGTGATGTAAATAAAATCTTTAAGCAAATAAGGCAGCTCCATTATTCAGACAAGTATACTGTATCCATGCACAATTCGCGCGAGACCATGTCGCAAAGAAATTAACTGCGCCCTATATGTTCCGTCCGCGCAGCAGCTCATAGATTCCCTCGACCGATGATTCAATGCAAGTTACTCTTTAAAGAAGATATCAATTTGAGAAAAAGTGTTGAGATTGAAAGCGTTTTGGTGTCATATCACAAATTGTATGAATTAGACAATGGTAAGTTGAAGTTGTATAGTGTGGGTCATCGAATGATCTCTGAGCTACCAAAGCAATTGTCATGTAATCTACCCATGCGAATAATATAGCTATCGTTTGCGGCAGCTTGAGTGCGAGACAAACGTTAGCGATAATCTCGGTTGTGAAGAACTCATTGATTTGCGTCATAAAACGCAGCGATACTGTATGCATTTTTGTACGTACTTCAGCGAGTGCGATAAAGCTTTGCTCCATTATAATGGCTTTCTTATCAGCGTGAAAAGCCTGGAGCTCGACTGAGCAGGCACGAAATGCGTATTATGTGTCCACGATCCGCTCAATGGACCAGCCACGAATCCTCTTTGTACTCTTCTTCGATGCCAAGTACATGACAAGTATTACCAAGTGACTTCACATCGAAGATATCTGCTCTATTGATACACATTCTTGCCATCTTTCTCACGACAACAGTCAACATTCGACTTCTGCGCAAGTCTCCTCCTCTTGCGCCGTGATCAGCTGGGAATATCCCTGCCGCTCGTGCATGCACCTGGAAATGCGTACGTCAACTTCGCGATTTCAGTAAAATTGCTGACAACGATAAGAGTCTCCACGCTCCTTCGAGTCTACCGCCAGACAATACTGACGAAGGCGATGATCACACTGGATGAGAGATCGGCTTTCCTGGAGCGGGCTTAACCCTCCCGTTCGCTTCAAAAGACGACAATACACCACTACCGAGCACAAATGCGTTAGAGTGTGACGCATGATTCAATTCGAGGTAGACGATAAACACTGCTACATCGATCTCTGCAGACAGCTCGATGGCATCATCCCGGTCCCCCACATCGTCAAATCCACTGCCGGATGAAGAGGATAGAGAAGCACTCATGGGTGATGAAGAGACGACCAATACGACACCTGCTACTGGCGACTTCAAAAAAAACGCAACACGATTCACAGTCGAGACACCACCAATCGCGACATCAACAAAGCGGGGCTCTAAGCCATCGACAGTCCATTTCGGAACTGGAAAAGACCTCTTCGCAACCGGCGCGTAGATCTCCACGACAGTGATCGACGCTAACTGCTTCGAGTGGATATTCAGTCTTCGGCGCTTGGAGTGTGACCCACCTTCTCACGTCTGGATGGACAGCGACGGGGAATGCCTGAGAGCATTGCTCAGAGGTGGAGCTCATCTGCCTCCACGGTTTAGTTTTGTGTTTGCTTGACCGCATAGCACTAAGACTGTGCGACAGGAACCGACGTGATGGAGATCTCGAGCTCGATGGCCATCGTCGATGCTTGCGAAAACAACACGGTTCATGTGTTGTGACCACGGGTACCGTCAAATCGATTACCAATTTGTTATTACAAAGCAAACCTCGTAGCCTTGGACCCATGCGTGTTTTAAACCACCATTTTTGCCTCCTCAGGGTTGGATGAGGGTTATAGGCTAGACACGGCATGACTCAATTAGATAGAATCCATTAAAATGTAGTCAAAGATTGGTGTGTTTCGAGGTATACTTTATCATTTTGTGAAAGACATCTGCGAGAGCAGTGCAGAGTGCTTGCTTAAAATGCTTCTTCACCACAGATACCCCACTCCTGTCTGACCTCAGCGTTTGATTTTGTTAAAGATATTTGCCTTCCGTCTTCTATCACCATTAAGATTTTTTATAAACAACGATGTGATCTACAGTTTTCTGTTGTGCTCGAACTGCTTTTCTATTCTATTTTACTGCCATAAAAGATATTGACGATTATCACGACATCGGATGCATCCCGATTATATCAAGTGCAAGTAAACGAGAAAGCTTTCTATTATACTTCAAAGGACGTCACGACTATAATTTCGAATCGCGTCACAAGCCATTGATACCTAAAGACAGAGCATCAAAATTTACCGTTGGTGGCGAATTCAAAGGTGGTGTCGCTGGTGGCGAATTCAAGGCTGGTGTCGCTGGTGGAGAATTTAGCGCTGGTGTCGCTGGTGGCGAATCCAGCGCTGGTGTCGTTGGTGGCGAATTCAGTGCTGGTGTCGTTGGTGGCGAATTCAGTGCTGGTGTTGCTGGTGATGTCTCCGTATTGTCTAAAGTTGGAACTTCTGTAGGTGGCTCTCTGACATCATCCGAGTCAGAAGCTTCTGATCCTTCTGGAGAAATAACGGGAGTGCAGGCTGCCGACGCATTGACAAGCAGACTCACGTTTCCGTAACTCAGACCGATGTTCGTTACAATGGAAAGATCGGGTCTCGCTTTTGGAATCCACAGAAAATCAGGATGATATCTAGTCGAATTGTAAACCCACTCGCCACCGAGAATGATCCCAGCATCATCCAACTCTAAAATATAATAGTAGTACTTGCCTGTTGTGAAACGGTTAATTCGACCAGAAGAGACCAGACCCCCATCGGTATATGTTTCGGCAATCCACGAAAGACGCGATTTGATGTACACAATACTCTTTGCGGCGGCATTCCATGGATATGTGGAAAGTCCATAGAATGTCTGGGCAGCTTTTTCAAGCGACATAGCAGTTTGTTCAAAGACCTTAAAGCCACGTGCTGGTTGATTCCATACTTCAGCAGATGAATCAACATCTACCACAAATGTGGCATTAAATCTTCCAAGGATATTAGCCATTGCAATGTGAAAGAATCCAGGATTCATGTCTCGCTGTGCAGCATTCTTGTATCGACCAAATTCATCCGTTTCGTTTGTCAGTCCTTTGTAGCGAACACCTGTAAATAGTGTTTGGACTTTCGCACCCGCGTAAACAGTTGTAATCAGAGCTTTAAGATCCAGTGGGTAGAACGTGATACCATTATATGTCACTGGACATCTGGGCTCAGGTTCAAGAATTGAAGCTGGAGCCCAAGCATGGCATAAACCGAACCACATAGGAATGCAATAACCTTCGTGCTGACCAGCACGAATTGCACATCTACTGTGGTTATGGAGAAGTTTGCACGTCTTGTCATGGCGACACTTTGGTCGTTTCGTTTGCGACTCAATTCCATGGTGAACCGAGACATTGTACGTAATCTCCGTGGCATTGAGTCCAAAGGCTAGTGCGTACTTTTCCGCGGGACTAGGCTGTTTCTTTTTCCACCTAATATTAATACTGTCCTCGAACGAAGGCCAGAATGGTCCAGACCATGGTGAAGGTTGGTAAATACCAATCGTAGGGAGTTTCGATAGTGTTAACTCCAGCTTTTTGCCGAAATAAGCCTCCAATTGAGCAATGTTTTGATTCGTATTATCCTCCAGACGACGATCTGTCTGCTCGACGTTCTGTATCACACTATTGCTCATTGACGGTGAGTCATAAGTCCAGGTTGTGTATGCGTCATGATCGTCATCAGGTCCAGGAGTGTCCTCAGCAATAATTACTTTGCCCACTTTCAAATACAGAGGCTCAACTGGAGCTCGCGACTTATTAGCGAGTAAGTGTTGAAACTTTACTGGTACCGTTGAGATGGTTGAGATATCCGGAAGCGTCGGATCATCCACTACTTTTATCGCACAATTCTCATCAGCGACCTCACCACCATAAAATGGTGCAGCTTCCGAGATTTCATAATCTGTACCGGACACGGTGTAAGGTCCATAGTAAAGCGACCCAGGAGTGACGAGCTGAATTTGTAGAGCTATTGTCACTATGCCCCCAAAGACAAAACTCGACTTGGGGGAGATGATCATTGATGAGATCGAAAGTGAGAGATCGAATTTACTCTCTCGGTACAAGAAAAAGTAAGAATGAACAGCTCCAAGACCAGCATCTTCAAGCCAGCATCATTACGGATCATCTGGAATTTCAGCTACCGTCTGCATCATGCAAGACGTGCCTACTAACTTGCTTAAAGTATAGACAGCTCTCTACAATTATCTCTCTCTTGTAAAATATTATTGTTTAAGAATTGAGTAGATTACTTAACTATAATTCAGGGGTGATTAAGTCAAGGTCTACATGACTTCGTTATAAGATGTCAGTAAATTAATTTTGTTGTCGGAAGTCTAATTCTTTGCAATAGCACTTTACATCGATACATTAGCTCTGCACTTCCATGCTGTTCCATCGATACATTAGCTTTGCTATTACTCAATTACTTCTTTGCTGTTTTATCAATCTCAATCTATAATATGTAAAGCAAAGGTCGTATTATTGCAGGCTGTTTTAATATCCAATACAAATCATTGTGATGCTTAAAGAGAGGTAAGTGATACTTGGAAGTAGATTTGTAGCTCCTGTCTTTGTCATGTAGAGGTGCTGAGATCATACATGCGCGGCATCACGGCTCTCTATAGTTACGGAATGGGTAGAGACCGGCACTTTTTTTAGCATTGCCAGTCTATCCACAGCACCCGCAATTAGACTATCTCGAAATGAAAAGAAAAGAAGAAAATTGGACTTATATGTAGAGATTGACATCTCGTTCCTTATCCCGGCTGTTAATCAAACGCCTGTCGTTGACAAAAAGCACACAGATGGGCTATGTGGATGTGATGCTATGGCAAGTTTGCAGTGACCGGCAAATCTCCTTCAAACCACCCGCAGACTCTTGGATAAATTATATTTATATGGAACTGCTATATCCCAATAACAAACCTACAACCCAAGTCAAAGCAATTTGACGTTTCTTTCAACGTTGCGAAGCATGCGATACACTCCCAGCGATGACATTAAGAAGTAAAGGTGATGTGGCTGATGGCAAAATTATTGTAATGAGCTCAGTAGGCAGTGCAAATAATTGAGATACCTTCAACAACAGCGGGATTACACCCAGAATCGAACGATCAATCCAATCAACGTATGTCGGAGCTTCCTCGACTGTGAGATGCGCTTTACGCTCTGCACGAGTTGTGCACTCCGCAACGGTGAATGATGTTATAACATCTCATTATGAACATTACTACAATGTCCAGCTCGTAAAGCGTCAGCTTGATCTGGCTCAACCGTTCGTCTGCAAGTGTATGGGCTGCAGCGTAGTTTGATGTGTTTGCTTTAACCAGTGTAGGCGTAGTTTTTAATGAGACGCATGTGAAGTCGTCGGCCGCGGCGAAACCCTTAACATCATGCGTATGGGCCTCTCGCTTAAGGAGATCATATTTGTGTCAAAATGTCGCTTCAGAAGCAATTTTTGACCATTTGGATCTCCACTAACCATGGATATCGCTTGCGCCTGGAGCTGCAGCGGTTGGGTGGGTCTGTACATTTCTGTTGATCGTGCGTCTAGTGCCAAGCGCTGGCGAGTCTGCTGGAGCGTAATTGACTTGGTTGACGCACTTAAAAAGGATGAGTCTTCACGTCCGATTTAAGGCTCAGCATCGTGCTTCAATGAAACATACGTGTGATCAGGACACTGCGTGATGCGATGATTGACGAAGTATCAGGCACGGCGTCACCTTCGAGGTCGGTTTTCGCCAGATTCCACCCTCAGCCCTGCTCATTCTTAGGAGTATATGGGTGCAACTACTGGCAAGATCTCAATCTCTAAGTCGCACTCGGTTGTCGAAGCGTATTGCGCTGTACAGTAATGTCATTTTGCTTGAAGATGTAAAGACAGAGGCACACCCGAACATAAGCGGTAGAATGCAATCGATCTCAATTATACCCTCGGGTTGAGGGTATCTGCTGAGCCAACCGACTCCATTCTGTACGATATGATGTTAGATCAACCTTATTCGTCGCGTTGAGCCAAAAGTCGATCCGTGACTCGCTCTTGTGAGGTCAGTCTGCTACGGTGGCGCGCCAACTATCTCTCAGATCCAAGAGAAAAGAAGAGAAGAGAAGAAATTGTCGTTGGAAAACACTGATTTGCAGCATATTATGCGTTTCTTATTTGAAGGAAATCCGATAAAATTTATACGCTTCAAACAGTTCATGACGAATCGGTGCCTTTGCAACATAAGGACGCTCAGCTGCGATTGATGGTCGGGACGATATTTAATCTCTAGCAGAGCGATTTGCAGTCGATTGGCTTATTGTAGAGAAATCGAGATGTCGCACCATCTACAACAAGTTAGAAATGAAACCTACTTCTTATCACAAAGGATAGTAGCAGCATTGATTTGGCAGTTTTCTTTGCGTCAACATTCATGCGTGCTACGTCTACATAAATTATTTGCGTGTCGTGTTTATACATCCTAAATTGCAGCCATTGTATCAAGTACTCGGCGCATGAAGCCCAATACCATCGAGAATAAATCTGTAATTTTGGCACAACATGAAGTCGGGCTGATGCACTCTCGTCATGGGAGTTACAAATCATTTTAAAAGGATACGGTCGAGTGTCTTGAGACGCATTATCCGCACTTAGCGCATAAATCACAAGTAGCAGAATCATAGCCTAAACTGTCTTACCTTTATTTGTCTGTCCTGTGGTTACTTGCAGGTAATCTTCTGTATCTGGTGCCAGGTACGGTGATCAAAATTCGTCAAGGCTCTGCTGTGTAGCACGATGCGTGTGTAGAAACAATATACACTGATAAGTCATTTTGGTTAAAATTTTATCGCTTGCCCCTAAAGATATCGCTTCCAGCATCAATATAGCCAGTATCACTGGCGCGTCAATTTTGCAGTCGTAATATCAAATTTGGTCCGATGTACTGCTAAACTTTGCCGAAAACGGCAGACCAGCAAAAGGCGTCAACATATGCGGCAAAAGATCTCTCGCGGATTCGCTCCACGCGTACACACGTGAGTGATCAATCATGTATACACGTTAGGGGACCAGTACGTAGCGCCCACTCAGATGTATCACCACAGGCTACTTATCGAAGTTGCAGACCGTCATTCGGCGAATGCGCCACTCGAACAAGATTCAATTTTTCAAAAGAAACGCTTCAACAGTGTATTATATGCTGTGTCGAATTCACACAACATGCGATATTAATGAAATGGGTAACGCCAAGAAGATTCACCAGTACAAATGCGGGACCAGGCATGCCTGGTAAAGAAGGAGTACAATGCTGCCCTCTCTGTCTATTGATAACGTTACTGTCTACAACCACGAATAGATCACGACGGTTTTGAGTCTTTTTGGCGTGCTTTGAAATTGTCAAGAGCATACTTTATCGCAAATAGCTCCTAGTCATAAGTTCAAACAAAATTGAATTTAATTTTTGTCGATTTGAAGAGGAGATATTTGGGTGTAATGACGAGTTTAAGGTTGTTGCAATCCGCGTATATTTTAAAGCAAGTACCAAATCTTCGCAACCGACATGAATAAACAGATTTAGAAATAACAAGAGCCATACTTTGGGTTTCATTATGTTTTTCAGCAGCTTTTTTTGTTGCACCTCAGCGCTTTCTGACACCCACTGCACGACAATAACGAGAAAACGCGCTCTGTTGGAGCTCTACACGCTAGACCTATAATAGGGCTCGTCCAGTCCGAGTCACGTCCTTAGGCCAATATCATATTGTCGATCCGCTATGGTTGTGATCGTTGCATAGTCAGCCCGCAGGCCATGTTTTTGACAACACCGTTGAAAATTCATTCGACGCAGGGGACATTGTTATATATATTGGCTAGCGTAATTTTCTCGGTCCTGCTCACTACTGCATGATATGGCTGTCCACAATCGGTTTACCGCGCTTTGTATAGGTTCGAACGCTTAGTGGAGATGCATGATGTGCCCTTAATAGCTGCGTCACCAGTTAGCTGAGCGACTGCTGCTACGTCACAGGTTTTGAAGCATGAATGATCACTATTGTTTACGAAATCTGGCATATACGACAAATTAGTTGCTCGACCTCATAAAAATGTCAGATCATCCCGCCAGAAATATCCATCGCATTTTTTGCTCCTTCATGAGTAGATGACGATATACAACAACAATTTCATGCATACTGAATACGATAGGGTTGTCTTTGTTGTACTGCAGTACGTCATGTCAGGAATAGGCGGTCAAAACGGAGCGGACAATGTAGTTAGTTGGTTCAATACAGATATACGCCATAACCTTTACCGCTACCACAATATTCTGATTCAGAATGTCGACATCAATTAGAAAAATGAAGTATTCTACTTCACAGATTCTACTTCACAGTCCCTTCGTATTCCAACGGAAGTGAGTCTAGTGCTCTGATGCGGTATTTTGTGCCATAATCGAGGTCGATTTCGCGATGCGTTCCCGATTTGGGTGCAACATGCATGGCTTTTCTACTATCAAATTATTTATGAATTAGTTTGAATATACCCTTTTCTGAATTCATTCAACTCTTTATATTTAATCGAAGCAAAGAGAAACTATTAGCTCAAAGTCTTTCGAGTCTGCTCCAGGGCAGAAACTACAAACCCAACTTTACTGCATTGTTAATACGGACCTTTTTAGTCAAATTTTCTCTAAGCAAGATGCACAGCAACTGCGTTGTATGTGCAATTGAGATGACAGATTCATGGCGCATGCATTATATCTTTGGTGACTTGTAATTGGACAAGTGGTTGTATTTTTCAGTGTGACTCTTCTTTTGCTGAAAGAAAGTTCAACGGGCACGTTCAATGTTTTGGTAAGCGTGCACATTCACTATTGTCATGTAGACGTAGAGCGGAGCTCGGGAAAAACAAAGATGAAACATCATGAGCAAAATATATTTTTTTGTTGGTGTCGGATATATGTGTGATTTGCAGACTGTAAAGGTTAGCGGTACACATGAGCTGACGGCCGTATGTTCTGCATTGTAACGGGTTATATTTTGATATGTAGCAAAGTGAAATTGTTTAGTCCAGTTCACAGCTAGCCATAGCTATAAAAGTGTCTTTTTAACTCTGGATCGTAATAAGTACTCGTTTAGGCACGCACGTGATGATTGCTGAGCGCATCGTGTGTGCTTTAGCCAACGCTGACACAAAGAGCAAAGCTTCCTTTGTACAAGGTAAACGGCGTTCATATTGCAGGGATCCGTTTTGAATGCGATAACTAATATTGGTTTCGGAAAACGTTACAAGGGTTAAATATCATGGAGCATTCTCAAATCAAATTCCAAACGGATACCAAGAAAGCTAGATATCGCGGGTACGTCTGATTAAAAGCTTTGATGGATTAGTACATATGTCGAGCTGAGTTGAAAATGATATATTTGAGAGTCCGCACATCAGTTTTTTTTCGCGCGACCATCAAGGCTGGAGATAGCTAGTGCGACGTACTGTCGATCTATCAGTGCATGATCAAGCATACGGTAATCGCATTTTCTCATGTCAAAATGAGGATATTCTACTCGATTCCCGCCCTTAGAAATCTTGGAGTAGTACAATTCTGCTTAACTAAGCTCTAGAGAGTTAGCGAAACATTTGTTCAGGACTTTCGAGCATCGACGCGTTCTTGTAGTCAGTCGAATCCACCGGGCAAGCGTGACTATTTCCAGACTTTGTAAGTCTTTGGCCGAGCTATCACAGGTTTGTCAGTTACAAAGAAAAAACGAAAATCACCGTATTACATTGACTCGGGGTAAGATATATGATCATTTGTGTTGTATTCCCTCAAAAAGCAGGATCTGAATAGACTCATTCATCGCATTGGCGACAAGCACCGCATTTTGTCGACAGATAAGTTCCAGAACTCTAGTTACCTTTTCAGCCAGATGTTTGTTCCTCATGGAGCTAATATCCTCTTTGTCATCGAACAAAGCTGACGACGACGAATCTCACACAGTTCGCGCTCTCGGTTTGTCTTTGCTAAATGCACGTCGATTCTCCCCGAATGGTCAATGTGCAGCCGGATCCGACGCGCGTCATTGCCAATACGCTTTGTAAACTGTGCAAACGGACTGATTGGTTTGTATAATCTCAAACAGTACGAGCCATATCACTGCCCCAGAGTAGAATGTTGATCAGTCAGATTAGAATTGAGACGCTAATCAAGACATTCAATGGAGTCTTTCGAACGGGTATCTCGGGATAAAGAGGTCGTGTTAAGGTACACTATCCTGTAATAACAGAACGTGTTTGTAGTTTTAGAATATTGAGAAAATAACTCAAAATTCTTTAATTGTGACCGTCAAAGGAATATGTAGCAAAGACTCACTACTTAGATTGTTGGACCTTCATGTGCATGTAGGCTAACGGCTTTGGTAAAATCTTATCGCTCACATCAGATGCACACGAGCTGTGTTTGCCTCTGGCATCTGTTTGTTAATTTTAATTGTGTAGTTATGCCTTAGCATCCTGCACTTGGTGCATGTTGCTCAGCGTTTTCAAAACAAAATAGACGATTTAGTTACAAATTGGTTTTAGGTTGATAAACGCAAGTGGGAAGTAACGACAACCCCTTGGATCAGAGTCACTTCGCTGATGGTTAAAGAGATGCGAATTGACCAAGCTATTGAAAGGCGATATGGAGTGCTTTGAGCGGTGTAATCATCATGGGCGAATTCTTTGCGTAATTACGTTACGCGTCAGCTTGGACGCTCCGCGCTGGGGTCTTCGACGATATTCATCGCCCCGCGATTCCCATACATCAAAATTTTTGTCGCGCCTATCTTTGTTCACCTGATTGATGATTGTTCTAGTAATATTCGATAACC